GTATTTCGTGGTAGACCTCCGGATGTCAACACAAGATTTTAAATTCGACTCTGACGTTTAGGGACCCTTCAAATTTTAACTATAGAAGCCCTGCGGTGGAGCATATAGTATATAACCAGAGATAGAGACGAAATAAGGGCCATCCAACCCTGGCAACTTATCAGGCCTATGGGCCTTATATCGCTTAAATATCAACTCTCGTTTGCACTGAAATCACAAATTAGAAAGCTGAAATAGTATAGTGTCAACAATTGACCTGTGTAGACGTCTCCGTATATTCCAGAAATATTCTGTATTTATTGTAATAAATGTAATATCTTTAACTATGGGGGACTGTTCCATTCGGTGGTGCGGGAAAAACAGCAAAACATCTAATTACAAAGTAAACTGAATCACATTTCATCGGTAATTAAACATTAAATATGTAATTTTTCAATTTTCGTCCATTATAGCGAAGCTCAAGTTAAACTGGTCGATTTGAAGTGAAACAATTAACGACACCTGTCAATTGTTTCCAATTCGGGCTGGCCAATCAGAGCGCAGTTGTCACCGTAATGATTTGGCAGAAGAGTTTTTAAACAAATTAAATTACATGTCGTCTCTGTTTCTGATTATATACTGGATGCAGTGGAACCACAGTGGCGCTGCAGCCGCGTCGCTATCTATAGTACTGGCACGCACTGATTTTCCATTTTGACGTTTGTCCGCTCATCAAGTTTCGTATTAATGCATAAGTACGTTGAAGGAGTCCATTGCTGCACATTGCTGTCAATAGTGACGTGCAGTAAAATTTACAACACATCTCGGCATTTGTTGTTCGAAATTCGAAATTAAAAAAAAAATAATCTAATACGATCGTCACTTGTAGGATCGCTGTCCAACACAACTTCTACCTCAGGCAATCTCGCGTCAAAGCTCAATGCAAAACAAAGCAGTTTGGAATTGACGATAATTATATTAAGTAAACATTTTTATTTTCGTTTTATTAAAACTTTTTAATCAGCTACCCCTTGCAATACTAGTTATAATCTAAAAACTTATACATGCGGCTCGCATTTGATTATATTTTTTTTCGATAATGAATTGAGATTTGATCTCGCTATTGTAATCTGTCAAAACGGCCATCATAGCGTGCCGGTACTGTAATTATCATACAATGTTTAGAAGAGCTGTTGCAGAGCCACTGACTTCAAAACAGGAGGAGGTCCTCAATTCGACTGTGTTTTTTTTGTGTGTATATTACGCAATTACACCGTCTTTTTAAATCACACCGGATTTGTAAACCTGTTTTAACGATTC